CTGCTGCCAGTTAGGTTTTTTGGTTTCCACTGGTCTACAGCCACTTCCCCTGGGCTGCCCTCTCCCTCAATGCCCCTTCACTCTTACCTCAGGGCTCCCTGCCCTGTGGCTGTTTGATGCGCCAGAGCCCCGGGGAATTCGGGGAGGAGAGGAGTTAGCAGCCTCATGTTAGTGGGGAAGCCCTGCCTCTCATCTCCACAGCAGGGGGATCCTGGCTGAGAAGGGAGATGCAGGGGAACCTCAGCCAGGCAGAGGGAGAGTCTGGAGGAGTTTCTCTCTCCCCTCCCCGGCCGGTGGCCCATCAGCTCAGCAGTCAGGGAAGAAGGGCTGATGGAGGCTTCTTCTCCTCGGCCTGGTGTTTGCTGTTCAGCTGCTGCTGAATCCTCACCTCAGCCACGGACCCCGGGAGCCAAAAGCCCCAGCTGGGGGTGGGAATGAAGGGGTGGGCTTGTCGCCCTAGTCACGGCCCTGAGAGAGTTTCCCTGCTGTAGGGAGGAGTCTCTGATGTCCAACATGGTGTGAGCTTCCCTTGGAACATTTTCCACACTGAAAACATCACAGAGATCGCCTCCCTGTGTGGATTTGCAGATGCCTGATACTCTGGGAGTATTAAATGATACTCCCCACCTCGATTCTATGTCTCTCTGTTGCAATGTTCCTTCCAATCTTTTCTAGCCATGTGCGGACTAACTTCACGAGCACCAAGGCATTTGTCGACATGGTGCATTTGTCGACATGGTGCATTTGTCACGTGCACCAAGGCATTTGTGTGTGTGCACCATAAGTGGAAACAAAAAACGTAGCCATGGGCCCTCTGCTAATCAGCTGGGCAGCTTTTGCATCTCTTGTGCATGTGTGGCCACACACAACTTATAGACACTTTGTTGTGTGAATCACGGATGTGTGAAGTCAGATTGAATCTTTTCGTAGACAGACTATTCCTAGTGTCTCTCACCCTTGCGGATGTTTTGCAGCATGGAAAGCTCAGATCTCTTACTGAAGCTTCTTTCACTCTAGGCATTTAAAAGGCCTCTTCCCTATGTGGATTTTCCCATGTTTTGTAAGGTGTGAGCGCTGACTGAATTTTTTTCCACACTCAAGACATCCATAGGGCCTTTCTCCTGCATGGGTTCGCTGATGTTTAGCAAGACTGGAGCTCTCACTAAAGCTTTTCCCACACTCATGGCATTTATAAGGTCTCTCTCCTGTGTGGGTTCTCTGATGACGAGTAAGATATGTTCTGTCAAAGAAACTTTTCCCACAGTCAAGGCACTGGTAGGGTTTGTAGCCTGTGTGGATCTTCTCGTGGTTTATAAGGTGTGAGTGCTGAACGAAATCTTTCCCGCACTGAAGGCATTTATAGGGTCTTTCTCCTGTGTGGATTCGCTCATGTTTAGTAAGGGCTGAATTTTGTATAAAACATTTCCCACAGTCGAGACACTGATATGGTCTCTCGGCTGTGTGGATTCTCCCATGTTGAGTAAAGGCTTTTCTTTCCATAAAACTTTTCCCACACTCATGGCATTTAAAGGGTCTCTCTCCTGCATGCATTCTCTGGTGCACCATAAGTCGTGACTTTTGTATGAAGCTTGTCCCACAGTTTAAACATTTATAGGTCTTCTCTCCTGTGGGGGTTATCCAGTTTGTAATAAGGTTTGCACTGAAACGGAATATTTTCCCACAGTCCAGGCATTTGAGGGATTTCTCTTCCTTATGACTTGTCTGCTGGACTGCGCTTTCCTGGAGATTCCGGCATCCTCCGGCACACTGAATTGATCCATCCAGATTTCTCCTACTATAGTTTGCCAGCTGCCTCTCTGACCTGTGTCCATCTCCCCCGGCATTTTGCTGTTCCAAGCACTGGGAAAAATTCCCTTCAGCTCCTCTCAAAAACATCTCCCGAGGGTCCACTTTCCCAGAACCTTTCTGCTGCTGATTCTCCTCCACTGTTGTGTCACCTGCTGGGAGAGAGAACCAGGCAGGAGTCATTCTTTGTGCTGGGGAGAAAGGACTGAAAAGAGACACAACTCAGGCTACATCTATACTGCTTCCTTCTTGCGCAAAAGCCTATGCAAATGGAGTGCAGATTAGCATATTGCCATACTTCATTTGCATAATTAATTAAGGTCCGTTTTTTCACGACAGGCTTTTGTGCAAAAAGAAGTTGGGGGAGGGGGAGGAATAGTTCAGTGGTTTGAGCACTCCCCCGCTAAACCCAAAGTTGTGAGTTCAAACCTTGAAGGGGCCATTTAGGGAGCTGGGGCAAATCTGTCAAGGATAGCACTTGGTCCTGGTGGGAGACTAGACTCAATGCCCTCCCAAGGTTCCTTCCACCTCCATGAGATAGGTATATCTCCACTGCATCAGACAGCTCCTTTTTGTGCAAGAGCCGTTCTTCCTCATTTTTTCAGGAAGAATGGCTCTCGCATAAGAGGAAGTTTTTGTGCAAAAAAGAACTGTCTACACAACTCCTTTCTGCGTAAAAGCCTCTTGCGCAAAAACAGACCCTAATTAATTATGCAAATGATGCATGGCAATATGCTAAACTGCACTTCATTTGCATAGGCTTTTGTGCAAGAAAGAAACAGTATAGACATAGCCAAAGAGAGAAAATACCGCACAGTAAGGCTGTGTCTAGACTGGCCAGTTTTTCCGGAAAATCAGCCACTTTTCCGGAAAAACTTGCCAGCTGTCTACAC